TCCGGAAAAACTAACAAATGGGCCATTCCGCGCCAAGTGTACACAGCACATGAAATTGACCTCATCCGGTTTGTACCGAATTTGGAGGGAATGTTCATTTAAGTTCAAATTTTAAAAATCCAAAGTTTAATGCTAATCGGCGCAACCCTCGGTCAAGGGGCGCATTTTCCATTTTTCGTGATTCTTTAGAAAGCACTACCTTCTTTTGTTTATATCTGCAGAACGAATGAAGCTACAAATTCCATTAGGTATTGTTTTAATAAGTAAATTAGACAAGGAAGCTAAACCTGTAATTTTTGTTCCTGTTCAGTGTTTTTTTTTTAAAGAAATTAATTTCTTTGTACATGCTCAATCGAATAAACTTTACAGAGCCAAGTGATCATTTGCGTTTTACATAATTAATGTCTTAAATCTAGAGTTAAAGTAATTGAACCGATTACTCGCGGTCGTCTCGAGGTTAGTAGATATTAACAGTTTTATGGATGGGGAGAGGGAGAAGGAGGTTTGAGTTATGATTTAAGATACAAATATTTCATTATTCCTTAAATATGAACTTATTCCTATTAAATTTGGTATCAGCAGTGTAAATATACAATTATTGCAGAAACAAAATTTTTTCAAAACAAAAACCCCACACGAACAAAACATAAATTAAACACAAGGTTAATCCAACTTACAATCTAAGGTTAATGTTCTTAACCTTAGATTGTAAGCTGTTAAGTGTTGCCAAATATTTTTATTTACATTTGAAAACTTTAAATGCAGTTTTCTTATAATACATGCCGTTTAATTTTCGTTTTAAGGACACCATTGTGTTTTCCATCCTTTTCTTCATAAGAAATTCTTAATGATAAAAAGTAATTTGCTTGGTCCTGAGATATTGCATTTTGAATGAATAAAAGTCATAAATTATTTGGTAAAAACTTTTTTTTAATGTTTTTTTACCATATGCTCTTAATTAGTGGATTCATTCTCATGAATTATTGTGTGAAATAATATTTGAATAAAAAAAATGGATTTTATTACCAATAACTTTTTTAATACAGTGCTGTCAAATTTAAATATTATATAGCGACTTTAAACTTAAGACGTGATTTTTTTTAAATTGATGCATCTAAATATTTGGCTTGATTGCTCCACAGCATTTTTACACAAGATAGACTAACTTAAGGTCAATCGCTGCGACATTCTTATTCTCGGAACCACTTTGCAACTTTAGGTGCACAAACATCAGCTTTTACGTACGTGTAACATTCAAGTTGCTACTCCACGTTTGCTGAACTGCAGCATAAATAAAGAAGCAATTTCAGGTGAAATGGGGCACCGATTTCCAAAGTTTGTGTTATTGAAAATTCGAAGTGGAAGTGCATGTATAACCTACGTGACGGCTATTTGTGGACTTTACAAGGAATCACCTTAAACAAAGTTCAACGCATAGTACTTGCGATGTATCATTTTGGAAAAAAAAAGTTTAAAAACTAGGGGGGGGGGGGAGGTCATTGGTAACTTCTTTATTCACGTAAAAACCAAATAAAAATCTGACAATTTTCCTTCAATAATGCATCTTGACGAAAATGTCGGTGATAGCTCGGAAGAAAACTGCAATCTATTTACAAAACATGTTCAAGAAATCTATACAACATTTTCTGAAGAACATCGCGACCACGATGATTATTTTGCATTTTTTCAGAATTTTCAAGGGATATTGGTCTCAATCAACTTCAAATGCAAGATATTTTGCAGGCTTTAAAAAATTTAGATGCCTCAAAAGATCCTGGACCTGACGGAGTTCCTCCAGTATTTATTAAATGTCTAGCAATGGAACTCTTTGCTCCATTGCTTTGGCTTTTTAATATGTCCGTGGAATCTGGAACCTTCCCAAAAATTTGAACAAGCTCATTCCTAGTGCCTATCTTTAAATCTGGCCGAAAATCTGACGTACGAAATTATTATGGTATAGGTAACCATTATCTCTTGGATTGCTAAACTTTTCGAGGCAATTGTCAACGAAAAATTATTTCTCCAAATCAAAAATAGAATTACTGACATGTAACACGGTTTTTTCAAGGGTTGCTCGACCTTGACAAATTTACTTGAATGTATAGACTATTCATTGAATGCAATGGATAATGGAAACCACGTAGAAGCTCTCTATACAGACTTTAGCCAGGCATTTGATCGCATAGACATACCAATGCTACTTTTTAAATTGCACACAAATTGAAATTGAGTCAGGGCTCCTAAAATGGCTTGAATCACATTTAACTAGCCGTCAACAAATAATTAAATTCAACAGAAAGAAATCGAGTCCAATTCAAGTCACTTCAGGCGCCCCCAAGGCTCTCATTTGGTACCTCTTCTTTTTATTCTATACGTAAGCGACATTTCTTTCATGCTCAAAAAAACTTAAATTATTTATGCCGACGACATGAAGCTCATTTTGCAAATAAGAAATGAAGAAGACATCAATATATTCCGAAATGAAATACACATATTCTACATATGGTGCAAAAAAACTTTACTAGAATTGAATGTAAAAAAAATGCAAGTTAATATCATTTAGCAGGAAAAGAACAACTTCAAATATTTCAATTGCATTAGGTAATCAAAATGTAGAAAAATGTGAAAGAGTTAGGGATTTCGGAATTATCTTAGACTCTAAACTAACTTTCATAGACCATTACAACACAATTATTCACAGAGCAAATAACATGCACCGTTCGAAAAATTCATGTAAATTTCTGCGAAATATAGCGCACATAAAATTAACGCCTGATTTCGCATAAATTTACGTGATATTTCGTGTAAATTTAAGCGCAATATCGCATAAATTAGCAATATTTTATGCAAGCTTGGAAACGATTTCACTGTTTATGCCAAGTGTAGCTCAAAATTAAACGAAGGGAGATTTTACGCGATAGTTAAAATTCAGAATTTTTTACTGTGTGCTAGGCTTTATCAAGCGCTTTTGCTATAACTTTCAGAACCCATACATAATTAAAACACTATATATTGCCTATGTGAGGTCAATACTGGAATATTGCAGCATTGTATGGTCTCCTTTTTCAATCTCGCACGAATCTGTACAAAAACAATTTCATTTATACGCTCTTCGTAAATTAGTTTGGACATCATTTCTTCTTCCATCATATGAAGCACGCTGAATGCTTATAACTTTACAAACATTAAAAGAGCGTCGTGAATATGCAATGGTTTCATTTGTAAACGATATCGTTTCACAGCGCATTGACTCTACAGAACTTTTATCAAAATTAAATTTCCATGCACCTACTTGGCAACTTCGAAATCGAAATTTATTTACCATAAAACATCATCGCACAAATTATGCAAAACATGGGCCATTAAACCGCATGATGGCCTCTTACAATCAATACTGTGAAACCATTGACATTACAATGTCTCGGCATAAACTAAAACAACATTTTTACACCATAAGGCATTATAAATACAAAACTGTATTCGAATATGTACTAGTCTACTAATAAATAAATAAAATGCAAAAATCTCAGGAACTAATCAAATTACTTTTAGTCGTTAAGTGTTTCTTTTGTAAAAAAGGATGGAGAATACGATCGCGTCTTAAAATAAAAATTAAACGACATGTATAGCGAGGAAACTGCATTTAAAGTTTTAAAACGCAAATAAAAAATATTTCGCAACACTGTACCTGAACAAAAATGACAGATTTAGATTCCTTGTCTTTATTAAAACAATACCAAATGCAATTTGTAGCTACATTCGTTCTGGAAATATGAACAAAAGAAAGAAGAGCTTTCTAAAAAATAACGAAAAATGGAAAATGCGCCTCTTGACAGACAGACAGACAGACAGACAGACAGACAGACAGACAGACAGACAGACAGACAGACAGACAGACAGACATACAGCTAGGAACAAGGTGCTCCTAAGTCCAGCAAACTTATCCATCCAGTATCCAGTGATGTTGCTGTTTTTTTTTTATTATTTTTTTTTTCTTTATTTAACGTCGGTCTCTGTTCCGCAATCTAGTGCCAATCACCGACGGAATTCGAATATGCATCGAAATTCCACACCTGCGCAACCATTCAACACACATAGACCGGGACCAACGGCTTTACTTCCCTTCCAAAGGAAGACGTGACCAGAGATTTTTATGCCTCAGAAAAATCCCACCGACCTCGGCTGGGATTGAACCCAGACCCATTGGGTGTTAGAAAGCAGTCACGCTTACCACTACACCACCGGCGCCGGCCATGATGTGTTTTTCGTCGATCTTGTTTTCCGTACTGATCACCGATGCTACCGACGTCAGGAAGGCAGCTCCCATACCTGGACCCTACTTATCAACCCATCAACTCTTGATAGAGCTGGGATTAGGGCGTAACAGCTTTTGTAAACAATGACTTCTTTCGATGATTTTGCGTGGGCGTGCCTTGAATTCCTATATATCCTATAGAGAAGTCTTTGTTTACAAAAGCTGTTACGCCCTAATTCAAGTGCTATTTATTATTATTACTTTACCAGGGACCAACTGTTTTAATTCTCTTTCGAAGGTAAACGTGATCAGAAATGTTATGCCTCCGAACATCCCGGCGGCGCCAACTGAGATTGAACACAGGCCTCTTAGGGTGAGAGAGGCAATCACACTTACCACTACACCACCGGCGTCGCTGTAAACGGTTGCTTCCTTCGGTTGCTGGCCTCATGAAGTACATTGGATTGCTTTGGTGCTGTATTGAGCACTCGATGAACGGTTTACTATGAAGAGCGAACAGCGAAACTGAACCGTCTTGGCCAAAAACGCTCGACTGAGAATAAAGATTATGTTGAAGTTTATAGTTTTTGGATATTTTCATGATTTAAAATAGTTTTCGGATAAAATTTAATGATGTTGCAGAATTGAACCAAATATTTTAATTTATTTATGTTCGTATGTCTCCAGATTTTTCATCTATGAATCGCTTATTTGCTCTAGAACAAAATAAATTAATGGTTTTAACAGTTCCATCCTGCGATACATGTTGGTGGAAGATTGGCTGGTGGACATTCGTTGGTATCACATGGGTTTGGTCTGCATTCCATACTCGGATCGCAGCATGCAAACCACGGCCAATCACACACTTGTTTAGCAACATTGAAATGCAGTCCTGGAGGGCACACCATTTCACACGCTCTTCCGGTTTCACACTTGTAGTACTTTGTACAATTGTTGTGGCGGAGAAGTAATGGCTTCGGTGGGTTAAATAGTGGGCATAGTGGGTTTGGATCACAGTTGTCACAGTTGTTTCCTCCTCCGCTGCAAGGTGGTGTTGGGGTAGGGCAGATTATTGGTGGGCATGGTCCTGGTGGTGGTGGTGGTGGTGGTGGTGGTGGTGGTGGTGGTGGTGGTGGCGGTGGTGGTGGCGGTGGTGGTTGTGATCCGTCACAACCACTTCCTGGACCGCATGGGTCAGGCATGCAGGGAACAGATGGATCACAGCAAGCATGTTGAGGCCAATCGCAGGCCATCTTGACGCTGTTGAAGTGTAGTCCAGCTGGGCAGTCGTATGTACAGGCACGACCGTCGTGACATTTCAAGAATTTCGCACAGATGGTATGTGGAAGCAGCACTGCCTTGATAGGATTGTACGGTGGGCATCGTGGATCAATTGGGCAATTGATTAAACACGTTGTAGTTGTGCACGGTGCTTGGGCACTGATCGTGACCCCATAAAGGGCAATAATCAATATTAAAAGTTTCATTCTGGTTCTGTCACTGATCACTTGCTCCAAGTGTACACAGACGGTCGAGTAAGATAGAACTGACTTCTGTTCGATTGCTGCTCGGTATTTGTACCCATCTATGATTCGCTTTTCCCAAATGTGTTTGTTATCTTACAGCAGTTTGCTTCCTAGATATCCAAAAACATTAATTATAGATATGAAGACGGAACCACGGAGCAGTCAAGATAAATGTACTATCTGCTGAACTTGAATGTCCGTAAGCAATTGCGGATATAGATCCATGTAAAAACGATGCTTGATGGATATAATAGCGAATGTGTCGTACAAAATATACAATTTTGAAGTATCTGGGAGCGTAGCAGAAGGTACAATTGAATGGAAAAATCAAAGATAATGTTCGCACAGATTGGTAGCTTGGCCGATTTGATTTCCTTACACAAAATAGGCTGTCATAAATCACTGTTTGAAGATAATCATATAGTGTCTTCAGCAATATTGTTCAAAAATACTTCAGTTATTGAGAAAACATATAAACTGGGATATCCATGAACACTTTGAATTGGCCTGAATCAAGCCTATAGGTTGTAGCAGTAACATCAAAAAGACATAACTCAATACTGGAGACATAAACAGGACAAACGTAGTAATAAAAGATATCCAGATCATCTTGAACATTCAATCCTGAAGTTCTTCAGGTTCACACAAGTATTATATGACGCCCCTAAGTAGTACATAATATGCTGATCGTATTTTTGATCCCCTAGAGCTTCATAAATATCTAAAGCATTATGTAATATATATTGATACGTTGACAACATATCTCTGGGCCTACAACTCATCCTGAAATATAGATTCTCAAGTGTTTTTTCAACCTTACCCACATCATAGAGCCCCGTTAAATCATGCGAGGCATATAACGGTGTTAAAAAAAATATGTTGCATTCTCCAAATTTGCCTGGAGTTCAAATCTTAACGTTTTACAGATTTAACGAAGTATTGGGAGATTTGTGATTCCAGAAAGCTTAGTGGAGCCTCATTACATAATATAGGATGTGTAGTTGTAATGGAAACATATTTTTGAGTCTCCAAGTTATTCTGAGGATTGAGTATTGATGTTATACAGGCTCAATAAAATGTTGAATGATGTCGAGATGTACTATACAAGTCCATGATACTCCGTGGAACTTCATCATTTCAAGGGAGATACGAAGTTATATAAATATGTTCCATTGTACAAATTGCCTTGAAGTTCAGATCATGTATGTCTCGATTTAATTTGTAGAGCCCCATTACATCATGCGGAATAGATAGTTGTAATGAAAAAAGATTTTGGGGTCTCCAAGTTGTACTGAGGATTGAGTCTTGATGTTCTACAACAGAGGTGCTCATGGCCTTTTTTTCGATAGCTGTATCTTTGTTCTATGATCATATTTTAAGTTGTATTGTGTGTACTTCAAGAACTATTTTTCACGATGATTTGAAGATCTTATAGTTCCTCGAAGTAGATTGTTTTACAATTTATTGTCATTGGTTATTATTGAGGTGGCGTTGCAAAGAACTGTTAAAATCAAATCGGTTGGCGAAATCATTGAACCGAAGTGTAATTAATCTGATTGGATCATGTCGTTCATAACGAATGCTACGGTTAGCTTAATGCAAGAGATTTCGTAATCTTGTTTTCCCATGGTAGTTCTGGAACATACATATGCAATTCAGCGAGAATATTTGGGGCATCTATTTAGTTGGTCATCATATAAGCCGAATACGAATACAGCTTGCATAGTCGATTTCCTTTTTCCACGGTATCAATTTCCATTAGCGTCCCAAGTAACATTGCATCCATGCATTCTACATAGTGTAAATCATGATCTTCAGAACCCTCATAAAACCAACATTGTAACTTGGGATACAGCGATGTTCATATGGAGGAAGATTAAATGCTTCGCGCCAAGTTTTCCTCTACAGCCTCGAAGCGGTCAATCAAGTTTCTGCTGTATGGACACCATAATGCAGATTCCAATATAGAGCACAGTAGAGAGATTTCAGGCAAGAGTATCGCGTAATCCTGTTGCGCGCGCGGCGGCACTGGAATTTGTCATCTGATTTATTTATTAGTCGTCAATCAGTGTAGACCATTTTACAGTTTTACTTAAACGCTAATTGTTACAATTTTACTTCAATTACTTGCATAGCATTTATATTTTATTATTGATGCCTAGCTAACCTCGTGAAGAAAGTTTTTTTAAGCGTACTTTTATTCATTGTTATGTCAATATATTCACAGTATGTATTATAGCAAGACATCATTCTATTCAATGGGCTGTTTTTGGCATAGTCTGTTCTTTGATTGTTGATGCTAAACAAATTTCTATTCCGCAGTGAGCGAGTGGGAGCATAAAAATTGATATTTTCCAAAATCTCTGGACTGTTAACTCTTTGCGAAATCACATCGTTTATAAAAGCAATCATTGCGAACTCTCTTCGCTTTTTGAGCTCATCTAAATTAATTAGCATACAACGCGATTCATAAGATGGAAGTGGAAAACTCGTCCAACCCAACTTTCTTAGAGCGAACAACAAGAACTGCTTTTGAACTGATTCAATGCGGTTTACATGTGTATCATGATATGGAGCCCAAACTATGCTACAATATTCGAGAAGAGGCCTCACATATGCTACGTAAAGTGTTTTGATTGTGTAGGGATCATTGAAGTGCAAACTAAATCTTTTAATGAACCCAAGCATGTTGCTTGCTTTGTAGATAATGTTATTGTAGTGATCAGCAAAAGTTAACTTGGAGTCGAGGATAACACCTAAGTCTCTGACTTGATAGGATCTTTGGATTGTTTTCTGGCCAAGAGTAATTGTGTCGTGTATTACAGCTTGCTTTCTTGTGAACGATATAGAATTGCATTTATTAATATTTAGTTCTAACAAATTTTTCTTACACCATGTGTAAAAAACGTCAATATCTTGTTGAAATATTTGAAGATCAGGTGCTTTAGATATCTCCATGAAAAGTTTCATGTCATCAGCATATATAGAAACATGAAGAAATTTAAAAATATGTTCTATATCGTTGACAAATAAAATAAACAGTAATGGACCAAGATGTGAACCTTGTGGCACACCAGATGTTACATTAACTATGGAGGACAGATTTCCTTCAAATCTTACCTTTTGCGTCCGCCTTGATAAGTACGACTCGATCCATTTCAGTAGCCTAGGACTGAAGCCTAATTTGGATAGCTTAAAAAGCAAGAGTGGTATATCAACTCTGTCAAATGCTTTACTGAAATCAGTATATAGCGTTTCTACATAATTTCCTTTATCCATTGAGTTTAAACAGTATGACACAAAATGTATCAAGTTGGTAGTTGTAGATCGTCCTTTAACAAATCCGTGCTGTTTGCTAGTAATTACCGACCTAATCTGTAAGAATACATTGTCATTAATGATGGATTCGAATAATTTAGGAATGCTTGATAATATAGCAACTCCACGGTAATTTTTTACATCAGACTTTTTACCACTTTTAAAAATTGGAATTAAAAATGATTCCTTCCAAATCGGAGGAAGTACACTCGACTCCAAGGATAAATTAAACAGCCAGAACAAAGGTTTTGCTAGCTCCTTCGAAAGTGACTTTAAAAAAATAGGTGGTAAACCATCCGGTCCAGCACCTTTTGAAGCATCCAAGGTTTCAAGACCACGTATAATTTCCTTGAGAGTTAAATTATCCACTGCGATGTTCTTCATTGGCTCGGGGAGATACGAAAAATATTGATAATCTCGCTCATTCTCATCATGAATTGTATAAACGTCCTGAAAGAAGTCAGCAAATAAGTTACTAATCTGACTAGGAGTATTGCCCAACTTACTGTCTAATTGCATTTTGGATGGAAAGCTCTTGGATTTTTGCCTTTCTTTAACATAGTTAAAAAAGGATTTTGGGTCTGACTTAATGTTAGTTTCAATCTTTCTATTGTGCTCTTCATATGCATTTTCAATTTCTAAATTAAGTTGGTCACAAATAGTAAGATAATAGGTAAAATTTTCATCATTTTTGTTTCTCTTGTACGCTTTATGAGCTTTCTGCTTTCTGTTTCTAAGATTTATTATCTGTCTATTGTACCATATTGGTGTTTTTGCATTGGCTTTTTTCTTTTGCTTCATGGGCACACGTCTACGGTAAACTCTCTCCCGAGCACTGAGCACTGAGCACTCAACACTGAGCCCTGAACACTGAGCCCTGAGCACTGAGCCCTGAGCACTGAGCCCTGAGCACTGAGCCCTGAGCACTGAGCACTCCTCTTTATTATTTATGCAATGAACTTGAACTACAAGCAAGCCACCGTAGAACAAATAACGCCTTGCACTTGAAATAAGTGCCGTTAAAGAAACAGCGTTCTACAACCTTGGGGTGGCATACAAAAAAAACTAAACAATGCGACGGCCCGATGTAAATGAAAACATGGCGCGCGGGTCGTCACAATCCATCAACCCAAACTGCATGTTAACTTTTGCTAAGGTATCTTCGTAATGCGGTCGGAAAGTGAGTTCGCGGTTCAATATAACATCAAGATCCCTCTACCCAACAAACAATTTTAGCTGCAGCTTAGCTTATACAGGCAAAAAATAGCTGCATAAGGCAAATTTTGGCTGTATAAGCTGATCTGCAGCTAAAATTGTTTGTTGGGTATGACTGTAGTATGAAATTTAAATAAAAACAAATTCTGGATGTCTGGTACTAGTTTCAAAAATTTTTAGTTTTACATCATCACCCTTCACCATCATATGGCACTGGTTATGGTATCCTTCCTCTGTGCTCAAGATGGCTTGCAGTAAAAAAAATCGCAGTTTTTTTGACCACATCAATTTCTAAGTGAATCTGAATATCCGAAAGGGCGTTTTATGGTCGCTTGGATGCAGAATCTATATTATGTTGGAAAATTTCCTCCAAAAATCACGTGTCTCCAGGTCTACATACATTCAGGCATTGACTATAATCATGAGGACCGTTTTCTGGCCACCCCTTTGAAGAATCGATTTGGAGATGGCATATTTCCTCTATGCTCAT